CTCCCGGAGGGGAGGAAGGCCTCGACGGGCCAGCGTAGGGCGGAGCATGCTCTCCTCGCGAGCGACGGTAGCGGCGGGGAAGGAGCGCCGGCCGCGGCAACAGCGGCCGCCGCAAGGGTCGCGGCGGCGGCGGCGGCGGCAACCAGAAGGGGAGATCGGTGGCGCGAAGGCTGGTGGCGGCGGCGGAGGCGGCGACGACGATGCGGGTAGCATGCGCGGTCGCTGTTTCCGGTGCGGCAAGAAGGGCCACCAGGTGGCCAACTGCCCCGAGAGCAAGCCCGTGCGATGTGAGACATGCAAGGGCTACGGCCACGACAAGAGCAAGTGCCCGACCGAAGAGGCGGTGCTCGTGGTGGAAGTGCCGGCGGGGAGGGCGTCTGCGGACGCCACAGCACTGGACGTGGCAGAAGAAGCGCTGGTGGTCGGTGACATCTCAGGCGAGTGTCACAAAGTCGTTGGTCGAGGGGGTGTAGAGCAGGCTAGGCGGGGTAGGTATGTTGCCGATACCGGCGCTACCACCCACATGTTCGCGAACTCAGATGGGTTCGTTCGTTACGAAGAGTGTGATCGACGTGTGCGCGTCGCCGCCGGAGAAACCTTCCCTATCGTAGGGTATGGCGACGTGACGGTAACCCTTAGCTCGCGCGACGGTACAACCGACCTGTTGTTGAAACGGGTTGCACACGTCCCCCGACTAGACTACAACCTAGTATCTCTCACTTCCCTCTTCGACGACGGGTTCGAAACCAAAACCCTCAACAAACACGAGTTGGAGTTGGAGAGAGGGGGGGGGGAGGTGGTGTACTTCCCCCGATGCGGTAACCTGTACGTCCAAAACGGTTTCCGCACACACACCGAACATGCCTGTGCCGCAATTGCTCCTGGCAACGCGAAAGCGCCCAGCACCCCCGTTGACATCAACGATTTCCACTGCGCGCACGGCCACTCCCACGAGGTGCTGCTGAGGACCACGGCGAAGCAGCAAGGGACGACGCTGGTGGGCGAGCTCCGGGAGTGCCTGGGGTGCTCGACGGCGAAGGGGCTTTCCAAGCCCATCCCCAACAAAACGTCGACCCGAGCAGTTAAGAAACTGCAGCGAGTTTTCGTGGATTTGAGTGGAAAAGCTAGGGTGCAGAGCTTGGGGGGAAAGTGGTACACTCTCATTGTCAAGGATGATTACACAAGGTGGAACCGTGTCTATTTCCTGAAGCACAAATCAGACGCAGCTGAGGCATTCGAGAGATACCTTGCCGAAAACCGGGCAAACGGTGCCCCGTCCGATGTCATGGTCGTGAGATCTGACAACGGAGGAGAGTTCTTTGAGGGAGAGTTCGGCAGGGTGTGCCGGAAGTACTGCATCAAACAGGAGTTCACCCCCGCGCACAGCCCAGAATACAACGGTGTAGCTGAGAGAGCACTGGGTCTGATCAAGGATGCAGCACTAGCCGCCCGTATCCAAGCGCCAACTCTTTACCCCGGAGCACCGAACTACCCATCCCTTTGGGCCGAGGCCATAGCTTGGTCATGCAACGCCCTGAACTGCACCTCCACCACATCCAACCCAGAGAAGAAGTCGCCGTACGAGATGTGGCACGGGCACCCTCCCCCGCCGGGGGCGACGTACCCGTTCCTCAAACCTGCCGTATACAAGGTCAAGCGCACACACAAGTCCGAGCCAAAAGCCCAAAAGTGTTTTTACCTCGGCCCGGGAATCAACACCAACCGTGATTGCGTGCGCATCCTCAACGAAAAACGCCGAGCGATCACAACTCGCAACTTCACCTGGCAATCCGTGCCCGCCGCCCCCGCCGCCCTGCCCCAGTCGCTGCCTCCCATCGCAGAGGAGGAAGAGGAATTCGCGACTGAGGAGGACGAGGTTGGGGAGGGCGCGTCGAACCAAGGTGGAGGGAGGGCGGAGAGAGAACCTGTGGATGGAGGACCAGGTTTCAACCTTGGCACGACGGCAGCCCCAGGGCCCGCGGGGCCGCCCGCGCGCGCAGCGCCGGCGGCACCGCCGGCCGCGCCCCAGGAGTCGGGCGCGGGCGACGCTGGCGATGGCGCCCCCTCGAGCAGGGAGAGCGCGAGCGTCGCCCCATCTACCACGTCGACCGGCACGGCCGATGTGGGCGGCGGCGAGGACGACCGCCGCAGCAGCAGCAGCCGCGGTAGCGGCGGCAGCGGCGGCAGCGGCGGCGACAGCAGTAGCCGCGGTAGCGGCGGCAGTGGCAGCGACAGCAGCAGCGGTGGCAGCAGCGTCGATGACGGCGGCAGCGACAGCAGCAGTGGTAGCGACAGCGAGACGGATCTCCCGGCGCTCTGTGGGCCAGAGGCCCGGCGGCTCGCCCGCTTCGACAAGCCGGCGGAACTCACCAGCCGCCGCACTAGGGAGAACCCTCGCCGAAATCCGAGGTACGAGTCGCCCCCGTCGCCGCCCACATCGGCCCCGTCGCCGACAAGTGCCGAAGCCCTGCTCGCCTCGGTGGCGAGCCTGCCCGACAGCAGCACGGAGGAGTTCACCCGCTGGATGCTCTCGGCAGTACTTCACGTGGCGGAGGGGCTAGAGGCGAGGGTGGTGCGAGAGTTGCTGTCCGAGCGCGCGCAGGAGGCCCACGCTGCGCGCCAAGAGGCGGAGGATTTCCTGCTGGGTACGGTGGACCTCATGCTCAACTCGCCAGACGCCTTCGAGACGGCTCTGGCGTCCCACGAGCTAAGTGAATCCCCCATAGGCAAGCGTCCGAGTGATGTAGAAGCCCCACCCATGACTGTAGCCGGCGTTGCCAAGTCTGTTTACCGAGAGGGGTGGGAACAGGCCATGAGGGAAGAGTTTGAAGGGCACTTGGGCACGGGGACGTTTTCATTCGTAGACGGTGCGCCAGAGGGGCGCAGGCCTGTGAGCTCAAAGTGGTGTTTTAGTTGGAAGACCAACAAGGAAGGGAAGATAGACACGTTCAAAGCGCGTCTGGTTGCTAGGGGGTTTTCGCAAATCCCGAACGTCGATTATTTCCATTCGTCTTCCCCTTGCCCCTCATCCGCATCCATTAAGCTGATGCTTGCGGTAGCGAACGAGAAGGGCATGAACCTCAATCACTGGGATGTGAAGCAGGCGTATACACACGCTACGCTAGACGAGGAGGTTTTTCTGAAGCTCCCCGCTGGGTGCGGGGACAAGTCGCATAAGATTGCTAAGGCTGAGCGTGCGATTTATGGTCTGAAGCAGAGCGGTAGGCAGTGGGGGTACCACGCTGCTGATACGCTAGTCGAGAACGGGTTCGAGCAATGCAAGGCGGACCCGTGTGTTTTCCGCAAGATGGTAGACCAAGTCGTGGTGATGATTATCGTGATTTATGTGGATGACATTTTGGTGGCTGGGTCTGACGAGGATTGCGAGGAGTTGCTTGCTTCTCTCAACAAGAAATTTCCCACCAAAAACCTTGGAGAGTGTCAATGGTTTGATGGGTGTGCCATCGAGAGAGATGTAGAGGCTGGGACTCTTAGAATCTCCCAAACCGCGTATATCGACAGCATGGTTGAACGCTTCGATGTGAAATCAACTTCCCGCATCCCCGCTACCCCTGGTGCCGATCTAGGGCCGAAGCGAGAGGATGAGGAAGGAGGGGAGTGGCCGGTGAGGGAGGCCATCGGCAGCATGATGTGGGTGTCGACTTTCTCGCGTCCAGACGTCTCGTTCGCCGTGCGTGCGGTAGCGCGCCACGCCCACGCCCCGGCGAAGCGGCACTGGGATGCCATACAGAAGATCCTCGGCTACCTGAAAGGGACGAGGGACCTCGGCATCACCTACCAACGGGGATCGGGGTTAGGGCTGGCCGTGTACGTAGACGCTAGCTACGCCGACACGGAGGATAGGCGTTCGGTGTCAGGGTTGGCGACGACGGTTGGAGGTACCGTAGTCAGCCATGGTAGCAAGACGCAGAGTATCGTGTCTTTGTCTTCAACGGAAGCCGAGTACATTGCTGCCGGGGAGGGTGTCAAGGAGGCGTTGTTTGTGCGTGCTGTGCTTTCGTTTGTCGCCCCAGAGACCAGTGGTAGCAGCATCAAGGTCCTTGAGGACAACCAGGGGGCCATAGCGTTGGTGCAGAACCCCCTCAGCTCAGGTCGCACGAAACACATCGACGTGAGGTATCATTTCATCCGAGGATTGTTTAGGTCGGGGGATATTTCGGTCAAGTTTGTTCCGACAACGGAGCAACACGCGGACCTCCTTACCAAGGCCCTTAGCAGGGTCAGTCTGCAGTACCACCGGCGCAAGCTGATGAATTTGCCGGAGTAGATGTAGCAGTTTTTAGCACTTGCCTTGGATTTTTTGGTAAGTGCGGCCGTTGTAAGCCGCTGTGATAGCGACGGTTTTTTGTGGTGGAAGGGTTTTTCCTTGAGGGGTTTTGCCCGGACGCCGGGTTTCCCCTCCATATGTTACCATGTTGGTATTTTCTGATGTATCCTGGGGCGTTCTTGCCCAATTGATGGTTAGTCACTTGCGTGAAGAACCAGGGAGGGTGTTCGTGAGTCTGCGAACATTGCTGTTGGATACATGTGCTGGATGATTTTGTGTCACGCAGACTGGTAAGATAACCGTTTGATAGGGGGCACCGCGATGATTCACGGGGCCCCTCCTTGCTGTGGGAGCCGCTCTTTGAGCACTCCCTCTTTCGTCCGTGTGAAGGACGGTCGTCTACCTCCCGTGAAGTTAATACATCACCAAAACAGTCTCACCCGATAAATAAGTGGCGTAGGTCGCAAACAGGTATGCCGTGCATCCCGGTGTTCGAGGATAATCAGGGAGCGATTCAGATTGCACACAACCCGATCACGAACTCCTACTCGAAGCATATCGATGTACGGCATCACTTTATCAGAGAGCTGGTAGAGAGGAAAGAGATTTCAACTACTCATGTGCCGAAGCAATTTCAGCGTGCAGATTTCTTGACGAAGGCTAATAAATAACGATATTTATATGTCCTCCACCTTCTTGACATTGGTATCAACATCTGCAGCTCTCATTGTCAATCCGCTGTATAGATTGGATGGGATGGTCGCCGACAAACGAATATATGCGCGCGCGCGTAAATACAAGAGCAAATAAGTGTAACCGCCAAGCGCAGTGGAATAGGGCCGACAAACATATACATGCGCGCTCGCGTAAAACAAGAACAACATAGCTGAAACCATCAAACGCGGTGGAATAAGCAGACTCCCCGGTGCAGGTGATACAGGAGGTGTGCCCCTAACCTCTCGTTGGAAGGCTAATCCGTGGCGAATCCCGTGGTAGAATAGAAATGAATGGCACGTAGGGAACTAATACACACGTCGGCGTTATTGTACAACAATGGAGGATGCATGAATGGATGGCTGTGTTCCGACGAACAAAAGAAAGCCAATAATCAGCAAGTTGTCATGTGTCCATGCGGCGTAACATACTCTCGCGTCGGAAGTTGCAGCGGTGTGACCCGAACCTCTCGTTGGCAGGAAAAATAGGTAGCCACACAGTAATTCTAGAGCGAACGGGCTGTGCATCCTGTTGTAGATTGAACGAGGCTTCAATTTGATGGCGGGTAGGCAAAGTTTAGGTGCAAATTCGTCGAGATCGGAGCAATATTGTTTCGTGCTTGAGAAGGCCGATGACCGACACAGCCAAACATTAAAGCAGGAGGCGCCAACCAAGCTGAAACTTGCCCGAGGCGTTCAAAGTAGTACAGGACGGCCAATGGTTTGATTCCTCGCGCCTCGGGGGTTCAGATCAGAAACGTGCGTGGTTCGGAGCCTCGGAGTGAACGTGATATTCAGTCATTCATTCATTCGTTCACATTTGTTTTTACCGTTCTGTGGGACCTCTAGAGACCGTAACGGCCTCCTAGAGGAATATATTGTTTCAGTTCTAGCAGAAGAGGCACCAACTGTATCTGCTGCGATGCTAAGCGCGTAGCGGAAACCTTGGTGGTCTGCTGCCATGACCGGCCAGTTAGGACTTCGATTGTTCCCAAAGACTCCTATTCTTTGGTGAAGACGGACATCGAAGGTCGCGTAGAACCGCTACATATTGCCTAAGCTTATGGTTTCGGGGTGCGGCACAAGCACGCACCTCTCCCATGCGTGCAATCCTCCTTATCACCATCTAAGCAAAAAAACTATTATAATAGGGTCAGCCGATAGTGGTGCCTTTCGTACATATCGTTCCAAGGCTCACCGAGCTCCAAGGGCCCTTCGTTGCGTAGTTCGTGTGCGGTGTGCAGCCACCTACCGACAATAGTTTGCAAGTGCCGCTGTCTGCCAGCGAATGTTCCTCAACGCTGACGCACCGAACCTTTTGCCGAACACGAACAAATATTGTGGAAGCCCGATTTATTTCGTCCCTTACGAAATACCACTGTTATCGTGGTCGATTATGCCCTTGCTTTGGCCGTACGCTCAAGTCTATCACCATCCGCCAATGACTCAGCCGAGTGCGTCGCTGCCATTCTCAGGCGTTTGAAGAGTACTGCCGAAACGCCTCGTGCAGCGAGGTGAACATCTTGCCTAGACGCCGTGAACCGCGTGACACACAGCTTTCATCGGCGTTCCCTTCATGTTCAATTTCCTGTAGGGAATAATCTACCCATCACTACCCATCACGCCCCCAAGGACGAAACTGGGTGTGGATAGCCACCTTCGATGTCCCCCAGATAGACTGTTGTTCCCAGCTACCTTTCCCCTCTGCCGCAACGTTTGTTGGCAGTCGCTGGTTATTGCACGATGCTCAGTCGCTCATGTTTCCGGTGGACGCGGACGAGTTCAACTGTTCTCTTCGCGGCCATAGTAGACAAACAAATCCGGGAGGGTTCTCCGTTCGAAGTGAGCATCGAGAGCAAAATCAGAGACGAGATTCTCAGGGACGTGGACCGTGCGAGCTTCGAACGCCTCGCTCTGGTGATGCTAGTATGCTTGCAGCCAGTTTTGTTCCCATCGGTGCTTTTCCAATGCGGCCCGCCTCAAACAATCGATTCGGAAGGGGTGGGGAGTAGGACACTAACCAGACGTTTGCGCATCGACAAATGAACTGAAGGGTGGGGGTAGTGCCCTCTGCAGGCAGGTATGCCCAGCAACAACGACAACGAACGCCTGGATAGGAAGCACACCTGGCTCGAGGTCACGAATGTTCCCTACACCTGCATGCGCACATACCGTAAATGACACAATATAAGAAACCCCGGTGGTAACATTTTGGGGTTTGAAAATATCACCACCCGGTCTGCTATGGAACAGGAGGAAACCCTTCAAGGCCGGGATTAGCTTGTTGCCAACGTGAGGTTCCGGGCACACCGCTGCCACGTGCGCTGCGGAGGCTTACTCCGTAGCGTTTCTACGGTTAATTAATCAGTTCTTGTGTACTTGCGTGCGCATCTTCTCTGATCGTTGTTGGACCCTTTGACAAAATTGACTTTCTGTATGACCGGCTTGTCATATCGATTCTTTACATTTCCCGGTGTGTACTAGCACACAAGGAGCGAACACCTGGTTTGCTTTGAGGTTGGATTAGCGTTGGTCCCACTGCTGTGCTGTACAGCAGGGTAAGGCCGTCGCGGTTGTCCGGCCAAGCAGCGAACGTTGATGACTCTCTCGGTGTTCTCTGTATCAGATTGAGTGGACATGGCGATGGTTGTCCGTCTTTGGTTTTCCGCTTCCTTCATGACAACATTGTCGTCCATACGCAACGTCCGGCATCATTGGCACGAACACCACACCGAAAAATCTCTTGCAGGAGACCACCACGGTTACCTGAGGGAAGTTACGTTGTGAATTCCTTTACGAGACCGATACTGTCTCAAGAAGCCTCACAGAACTAAACATGAAAGGAAAATGACAACGTTCAGTCAAAAGCCCCGAACCATGCATTTTTCTTATCCGAACGCCCGAGGCGCGAGGAATGAGACCATCGGCCGCCCTGCACTTCTTGGGATACTCTCAGCAAATTTAACTCCATTGGTACCTCCTATTCTCCCTTCTTCCCCTCGCTCCTCGACAAGCTTTTGCTTAGACATGGGTTGTAGTGAAGGGGGGGGTCTTTCTGGCGAGCAGGGCTAGATTCACCCTCAAGGGATGACCGAAACCTTCTTGCTGTTGCGCATATCCGCCGCGAGGCATGCGCGTGGTGGTGTAGTTGGGTCGGCACTGATGGGGTCAGGCGAAAAAATGTAGATGCGCGGGCCTCTGGCCGTCGGCGTAGGCAGCGATGCCCATCTCATTTTTTGTGCGCGGAGGCAGACACCGTCAGAAGGTGG